GGCGGCGGCGCTCCTGCCAAGGGTTCGGATCCCATATAGAGACCGGTCCGCTCATTGGTTGAGCGCGGTGCAGGTGCGACACCGAGGGTTGCGATCCCGTTGCCGGTCGCGGTACGGGCGCGACACTGAGGGTTGCGATCCCATTACCGGTCACGAAAAAAGACAAAAAGGGGGAAAAAAAAAAAACTTACTACAAAGCTACTGTAATTAAGACAGTGCAGTACTGGCATAATCATTGGAATAGAATTGAGAGTCCAGAAACACAAACAAATATCCATGGTCAATGGATTTTCAACAAGAGCAACAAGACCTTCAATGGGGAAAGAATAGTCTCTTAAAGAAATGGCGCTGGGACAACTGGATAGCTACAGGCAAAGAATGAATTTGTACCTTTACCTCACACCACATACAAAAATTATCTCAAAGTGGATCAAAGATCTGAAGATAAGAGCCAAAAGTATAAAATTTTCTGTGACTGTGTGTTTGGCATAGTGTCTTAAGAAATGACACCAAAAGAACAAGTAACAAAAGAAAAAATAGATAATCAGACTTCATCACAGTTTAAAACTTTGGTGCTGTAAAAGACACTATTGAGAAAATGAAAAGATAACTCCCAGAATGGAGAAAATATTTGCAAAGTACATATCTGATAAGAGACTTGTATCAAGAATACATTTAAAAACTCTTACAACTCTGAGGTAAAAAACACAAATAAGCCAATTAAAAACTGGGCAAAGGATTTGAATGGACATTTCTCCAGAGAAGATATACAAATGGCTAATAAGCATATGAAAAGATGCCCAACATCATTAGCCATCAGGGAAAAGCAAATCAAACACTTAAGATAGCACTTCACACCCACTAGGATGGCCATAATCAAAAGAACAAGTAATTACAAGTGCTGGCAGGGATGTAAAAAATTGGAACCCTCTTACACTTCTGGTGGGAATGTAAAATGGTACACACACTCCAGAAAACAGTCTGGCAGTTCCTCAAATAATACTACTTTACTAAGCAATTCCACTCCTAGATATATATCCAAGAGAAATGAAAACACATGTCTACACAAAAACATATACGCAAATGTTCACAGCAGCATTATTCATAATAGAAGAAAGGTGGAAACAATCCAAATGTCTACGATGAATGGATAAACAAAATGTGGTATATCCATACACAGGAATATTATT